TGTGGTCTGCAGGGGTCTGTGTGAGGAGACCTGCCCTGGGGTGTGCAGGGGGAGGTGTGAGGAGACTTGCCCTGGGGTCTGCAGGGGGAGGTGTGAGGAGACCTGCCCTGGGCTCCACCAGCTGTGCCTGAGGCTGTGCAGGGGGGGGCTGGGGCTGGCAGGGGTGCTGCAGCGTGGTGAGGTGGGAGCAGGTCCACGTCCTCGGGAGCTGCTCCTTAAGGAAGCTGCTGTGGTTTGAATGCCTGCCTCCTCCAGCCTGCTTGTCCCCACGTCACCCTGGGGCTGGCACATGGCTGTGCTGGGTACGGGGCCTTACCAAGGATGAAGAAGATCCATCCTTGGCTCCTGACCTGGGCAGCCAAGTCCTTAGATGGTTTTGAGGCGACGAATTGTCCAGGCTGGTGTTGCTCTTGGCCCAGTGGCTGAGGCAGCCCAGCCCCAGCCCTGGGGAGTGCTCAGCTCTGGGTTGGCCCCAGCAGCCAGGTTGTGAGTCCCAGGTGGGCACCCATGGGTGTCCCTCTGCCCTGGTCCTGCTCTTTGGTGGCCCACGAGGACATCTCTGTGCAATACAGAGAGCAGAGGGGACCACTGGGTCCAGTTTACTTCCCATGCCTTGGTCCTTCTCCAGGGTGGTGGTTTGGAAAATTGCTGGCGTGGTAGAGCTGAGGTTGGGAGTGGAGCCCCGAGCAAATATTTCCAGTGGTTGAGTGGGCTGTGGGTGAGCTGGGCATGATCCCACTGAGGAATGGCTGCCCTGCTCCCAGCCATGCCAGGGTGGGCCAGGCTGCTGGTGGGGACTGGGCAATGGGGCTGACCCTGCCCCCCCCCACCTGCACAGGAGCATCCAGGGAGGCTGAGGGGTCAGGGACATGTTTCCCAGCTGCCTGGGGACAAAAATCAATACTGTGGTGATAAGTGCATGGGAACAGACCCCAGCAGGACCCACAGGAGTGTTGGGGTGATGCTGTCAGTGGGTGCCATGGGATTGGGGCTGTTGATGGTGGTGCTGCCACCAGCCTTGGTGCAAATGAGGGCACAGGAGCTTGGTGAAGGCTCTGGCTGTCCCTGACACCCATCCCCACAGGCAGGTGTTTCCCCGGGGGCTCCCCCCTGCCTTCACCCTCGTCTTCACTTTGCTGCTGAAGAAGAACAGCACCGGGGAGCACTGGTACCTCTTCCAGGTCACCGACCGGCAGGGCTACCCCCAGGTACAGCCCTAGGGTGGTGGGACACGCTGGTGACCCGGGGCCAGCAGGGACCTGTCCCCAAGCATGGTGTCCCCTCTCTGCCCAGCTCTCCCTGGCTGTGCACGGCCCTGAGAAGAGCCTGGAGTTCCAGGCCAGGGCACGGGGGGCCACGTTTGTCAGCGCTGTCTTCGCGGGGAAGGCGGTCGCGTCCCTCTTCGACGGGCGCTGGCACAAGGTGGTGGTGGCCGTGCAGAGCCACGGTGTCTCCGGCCACC